TAATATTAGTTGTTGTGGCTTTAAGGTATACAATATATTAGTAAAAAAAAAGATAATGCATGTCATCCATAAAAAATCAGCAGGCCTGTGTCATAGTTTGAGTTCTGGACTCTGCTATTCACTAGCTATGTATAAACATGAAATAGTCTCTGGATCTCGATTTTCCCATCTATAAAATGTAGGCAATAGTTCCTCCTTCACAGATTCTGTTGAAGAAATTTGTGGTGCAGGGTCAGGATCTCATCGTTTTGATCCCCATCCCCATCAGAGGAGAGTTCTATGCTGGGATGTGAGTGCTGGAACATGCAGGAAACCTTTTTGATCAGGAGCCTTTTCACAACCTTGCCAGAGGGACACCTCCTCCATTAATGCAGATGTCTCTGCCAACCTACCCAGGATGCCAGCGAGCCTGGAGTGGCTACCAGGGCAACTCTTTACTGACCTATATCTGCTTTCAGCAGATGGCTGCTCTTAGAAATAAATTATTACATTTATGGAACCAATACTCATAGAGCAGTAGACGTGAGTACAACACACACAAAGAACCTAAATTACACACCTCACTCTAACCCTATCAAGTTCACATACGTATCACTATAATTGCCATTTATAATCCAAGGGCAGCACTTAACACACTTTTGGTGATTGCTTGGGAATTATCTGTAAAAGCTCTGGATTTTTAAATTTTGTATAATTTTGCATGTGAAGTCTTTAGGTGCTCATTTAAAATCCTAATAACTTTTACAACAGGCCTTAAATTAAAGGTTTGTATAATCAGATTCAAGTATGAATTTGGATACGTATAATCTAAAATGCAAACATATTCCTTTGAAAACTGTGTAATCTGGGTCTAATCATGAGAAAACTTTAGACCAACTCCTATTGAGGGGCATTTAACAAAATAACTGGTGTATCCTCTTCAAAACTGTCGAGGTCGTGGAAGACAATGGCTGTCCCAGGTATGGCTCCAATTGCTTCCTGGGACAATTGATGAACTCTAGATATCTCCAAATTAAATAATAGCATTTTCTCAAGGTTAATTTTCTGATTTTAATGATCTATGTAATTTAATCTCAAATGACTCAGACAAATATACAGAAAGAGAAAGTGAATGGTAAATGCAGTAAAACATTAACATTTGAGTAATCTGGGTGCACCTGGAATTTTTTTGTACTGTTTGCAACTATTCTGTAAATCGGAAACAATTTTTGAAATCCGCTCACCAACGAGTCCCTGCCATTCTAAATAATCACAAAGCAGCACATCCGCACACCTGACAGCAGTTTGTTTTCTGCCTCCCTGTTTTTCAAACAAAACATTAAAAATCCCTTTTCCCATTTTCCTCCTAATGCTCTAGCCAAGTTTATTACTTTATTTCCCTGATGCATAATTTCCTTTTTCTGTCAACCACAGCACCGAAAACTCCCTGTGATTTGTAAGAGATTCTGTATCAGACAAAGCATTAATGTCTCTCCACTTAAGGTTTGCTAGTCTGCAGGGAGCAGAATTCTAAGAAGATTTGGGCTTGGCTGTTCTGTTAGTATCCAACATGCATCAATCCAACTGTGCGAGGGAACAAGTTGTTCCTAGATAAGAAGAAAAACTCATTTTTAAATCATAACAAAGAGCAAAGGAAGAAAAGGGAGGGAAAGAAGCCTATAGCACCATTGATCTAGCTCAAAGATCACAGGGCTGAGTCAGTATTTAGAGCCTCTCCCCAGCCCCAGACAATCCCCACACATGAATGAGCAGGAGCATTCCAGGAGGGCCATCTGCCCACATAAACTTGGTGTCCTTGGTTCTTGTTTTCTCCAAGCTTTTACATCCTCTCCATCTTCACTGCTATTACAGCAAGTCTTCCCGGGGGTACAATGAAATGGTTCGTACAGAAATGTACACTTGCCACTTGAAGTATAAAATGAAGCAAAATAAAAACCAGTGGACTCCACTTACCTTCAAATAGTGGTTGGTGTGTGGAGCAGGTTCCACGTCTGTACCAGATCCCTGAGTGTGGAGGCCACCTCAATGCACGCAGAATATATAGGGAGAGATTATAGATCTGGGTTTTCATCACACAAGGTGCTTTTGATGGGTCCTCCGCCAAGATCCACTTAAAAACAAATCTACACAAAGACTACAAAAAGGCCACACAAAGTTTAAACAAAAGGCTAAAGAAAGACCAAACAAAAGCCAAAGAAAGTTTAAACAAAGAGTGAAACAAAGACAAAACAAAGGCCAAACAAAGACAAAAACAAAGACCAAAACAAAGAGCAAAAGAAAATCTAAACAAAAGCTAAGCTAAGCTACAACCATACCACACACACACCCATACACACCCCATATCCACTCTACATACCCTCCCCCACACCCACATTTTCCAGCCTCCTACCTCCTACATCCCATAATCAATTCCCAAGTGCAACCTCACCCCTCGTCAAGGCTCATTCCACACCAACTCCACATCAAACCACACGCCAAGTCCAATCACACCACATGTTAACTCACACCACCAAACCGCACCACTTCCACACCACAAGCCACCGTGTAACCATCTGTAACTACCATGTAACCACAATGTGCCACACCTCCACCCACACATCACAAGCCATACCCACAAGCCATGAACAGAGTTGAAGTCACACACAAATTCCTATCTTGAGGCATGCCCTTGTACACTTAATTTAGCATGAGTCTAATCCAGTCTAGTTATAAATGAGATTGAAGTTTCCATGACAATTACCTTGTGCATTCAAACTTATGAAAACTTTTATAAATTCTCCCTTACAGTGGATGGTTTCTGCAAATGATAAATTTCATTCAATTAACATGGTAATGTTGGCTTCGGTCTTAGACTTCGGTGTTTCCTTGCTATTCCCTTAAAGTTTGAGGGTCACATTATTGGGTCCCCCAACTCTGTGCCCTATTAAACACTGTAGGACTTATAACTCTTTGCTGATCCTAAGTTTCATTTTATTTTATATATAGAGAACTACCCATTAATGATTTGAAAGATAAAAAGATACTTCTGAAACCAATTCAACCAACAGCAGACTTGCCTCTTGAATTCCCAAAGCACCTTGCATGATGATGAAATACAAATGTCATCAGCCCCCACTTTTCTTTAGGCTCTTTTCTCAGTGTAGGCCAGGCATCATCAAACTACGGCCCACGGGCCACATGTGGCCCACCAAAAACTTATCTGTGGCCTGCCAGGTGTTTTTTCACCGCTGCCTGTCCTGCTTAGCAGCTGACTCGTCCTGGGGCCTGTAGTCCAGCCCTCCAATGGTCTGAGGGACAGTGAACTGGCCCCCTGTTTAAAAAGTTTGAGGACCCCTGATGTAGGCTATAAGAATCAGCCAGGAGGCTGGAGGCCATGGCTTCTACCTGTAGTCCTAGCTACTCAGGAGACTGAGGCAGGAGAATTGCTTGAGGCCAGGAGTTTGACAATACAGTGAGTTATAATGATGCCACTCCAGCCCAGGTGACAGTGAGACCTTATTTCACAAACAAGCAAACAAAAAGAGTCAGCCAGGCAACCTTGAAGAGGTAATCCAATGAAACTGCAAACATTCAATATAAATCTCATCATGCGCTAACTTCATAGTCAATCAAACATTCTTTCTCTGAGCAATAAATTATAAAATTTGGCTGGCTTATTCCTTCCTACTGTGAGGTTAGTGTCTGGCTTGTGTTGCAGGGACTGTGACTGAGGGCTGAGGACAGTAAGCTTGTCTAGAGCATGGGCTCTGGAGGCCCTGACCCAGGGATAATCACAGGACCTGCCTCATGGGATTAGAGCAAGGACTAAATCAGTTAAGATGTGTTCACTGGTTAAAACAGCACCGAGCACACAGAGTCCTGCATCAGTGTCAGCTCCTATGGTCTGGGCCCTGAAAAAGCTTACAAACAGGAGTGGTCGGCAGGTGTAAGGCGCTTCCTATTCACAAAATGACTGGAGATGAATTCAGACTATTTAAAAGACACAAGATTGAGTTTGTAGATGATAAAGATCCGTCTTTACTGCAGGACCCCTCTGTTTCTCTAACCTTCCCTACAGAGATCCTTAATGACAAATTTTTCTGAAGTCCCATCTTCGATCTTCTAATCAATAATATATAGAGTGATAGAGAATTTATATGACCAAAGTGCAAAGGTTAAGCCACCTTTTTATTCCTGTTTCAAATGTGGGTGTTTGTCTTTTTTTTTTTTTGGCCAGGGCTGGGTTTGAACCCAGCACCTCAGGCATATAGGGCCAGTGCCCTACCCTTTTGAGCCATAGGCGCCACCCATGTTTGTCTGTCCTATGGTGGCACTCTCACTCCCAGAAGATTGCTGTGGGGGTGGCATCTGAGCCACTGTCACTCCCCTCAAAGTGTTTCACACAGGGAAAGACCTCTCAGGACTCCAGGTGAACTCGCAGTCAAAGCTAAGTAACTTGGCTCTCTGGTCCTCCCGTTCGTCAGACAGCTGCTTCTTCTAGTGCAGCGCCCCCCACATCCCCAAGGCACCATGGTGAAAGTGAAGGTCGGAATAAACAGCTTTGCTTGTATTGGGCACCTGGTCACCAGGGCTACTTTTAACTCTGGCAAAGTGGATATTGTCACCATCAATGATCCCTTCATTGACCTCAACTACATGGTCTACATGTTCCAGTATGATTCCACCCATAGCAAATTCCATGGCACAGTCAAGGCTGAGAATGGGAAGCTTGTCATCAATGGAAATCCCATAACCATCTTCCAGGAGCGAGATCCCAC